TCGCCGACTTGGTGGCTGCCACCCTTATGGGTGTGGTCGCCATATCCCCCTCAAAGGTTATCTTGATGCTCTGGCTCCTGACCGGCTCCTTTTCTTTACTCGGCTTTACTCTCCTTGCTTCGACATTCTCCTTCATCGAAGGGAACATCGATACATCTCCCAGACCATCTGCCCACTTGACGTACTTGCGGTCCTCAAGCACGACAAGTCTCTCATCTATTGCTCGTTTGAGGTCCGGGCAATCCCTCTTGATATGATCTTCTCCTCTACAGTAGACGCATGAGTTCCTGGGAGTAGATGGTCTGTCGTCTGAGCTTCTAGAGATCGAACTCCTGGCTGCTTTGGGTTCAGGCGACTTGGGATATGGTTCTGATGAGACGCCATATCCCCCTCTCTCATTCCGACCGCGCGAATCGTTGCGGCGGTCTCCTCCAGACCCTCCTTGCTCATACCGCCCTCGCGAATCATTCCGGAGGTCCCCTGAGTCATATCGCCCTCGTGACTCATCGCGTCGGTCCCCTCGGTTGTACCACCCCCGCGACTCGTCGCGCTGCTCTCTCGCATCTCCCCCGCGCTCAAACTGTCCGCGCGACCCATCTCGTCATTCCCAATCCCGATCTCCTCTTTCATACCTACCACCTCTGTAGCCATTTCGACCCGACCTCTCGTATCTGTCGTCCCTATATCCGTCTCGGTCCGATCTCTCGTATCTGTCGTCCCTATATCCATCTCGGTCCGACCTCTCGTATCTGTCGTCCCTATATCCATCTCGTCGGCCCTGTTCTGTCTCCCATCGGCCGCGGGAGTCGCCTCTACGCCGATCGGCCTCATAGCGAGGGCTTCGCGGGTAATCATCCAGCCTCCTTGCTCGCGCAAACGGCTCGCGATCTCTGCGGTCTCGGTCTATCTCATCATCCCTACGTCGCCATGGCTCATCGTCTCTCTCTCTTCCCCTCGTACGATAATCAGTCAGCGTCCGAGGATTTCTATCCTCGACACTCCTCCAGGAATCGTTGTTCCTACGGTCCCAGCGAAGTGAATAGGGCCCTCTGGGTTTGTCCCGGTAGGCCGTGGCCCCTGTAGTGGTCACAATCTCTGTAACCTGTCTCGTCAATCCCTTCACCATGTCCCGTATCTCCTTCACTTCCTCAGCCACGGCCTCATTCTTCTCCGACCAGGGATAGTCCTTGAAATCAGGACATCTATCCGTGGCATACTCCTTGTAGAGAGAGAAGTCACGTCTCCTCATCCCTCTCCACACCAAGTCCTTGTAATCGTCTGCCTCTGCCTTTATCGCGAGCTTTGTGACTTCTGGGAAATCAAGCCTGTCGCGCGGAAGATCTCTAAGTATATTATTTGTGCCTACCTTTGGACAAGTGTCCGATGAAGATAGTACAACGCTCGACCTCTGAGATTTTCCCCTTCTTCATCAGCACGTCGGAGATCTTCTGGAAATGCATCCCAAATGCCCGTACGCTCTCATCTTCATCTTGAGTCATTGTTTCAAGGTCCTTGATGGAATACTTGTTATCCTCCAATTTGTAAAGCTCAACGAGGTTCTTCTTGTACGTAGTCCATTTTCCATCCTTCGGTCGAGCTTCCTTAACTTCCCTACCGAGACTTGGGTCCACATTA